CAAAGTAAGCAGTCATGGGGTAAGAGGGAAGGTCTTCTCATGGATCCATAATTGGTTAAAGGATGGGAAACAAAGGGTAGGAATAAATGGTTAGTTTCACAGTGGAGAGAGGTAAATAGCAGGGTTCCCCAAGGAGCTGTACTGGGATCAGTGTTCAACATACTGATAAATTATCTGGAAAAATGGGTGAACAGTGAGGTGGTGAAATTTGCAGATGATATAAAATTACTCAAGATAGTTGAGTCCAAAACTGAGTGTGAAGAGTTACAAAGGGATCTCACAAAACTGCATGACTGAACATGAAAATTGCAGATGAAATTCAATGTTAAGTGCAAAGTAATGCACATTGGAAAACATAATCCCAACTATACATACAAAATGAGGGGGCCTAAATTAGCCATTACCACTGAAGAAAGAGGTCTTGGAGTCATCATAGATTGTTCTTTGAAAATATCTGCTCAATGTGAAACAACAGGCAAAAAAAAGCAGAAACAGAAATAGAAAGGGATATTCAGTGGTTCTCAAACTTCTTTTTTCGCGGACCACTTGAAAATTGCTGAGGGTCTCGGTGTACCACTTAATGATCTTTCCAAATGTTGTTTGTACCGTTAGCTAACTATTGTAATGCGCTTTGGATAAAAGCGCTATATAAAAAAACCTTACTGTATATACTCGTTCATTAGCCCGTTCGTTTATAAGCCGACCCCCCAAGATGGTTAGGTAAAAATAGCAAAAACTGTATGACCCTTTGTGACGCAGTAGGGGAACAGGGTGGATTGACCTGGGAATGTTGTCTAGTTTTACTGGGACTGTCTGCATGGGGGCTGGGATAGCAGTGGGTGACTTCACTTGAGGGACGATACCTGAGTCTGTAACCTGAGCCAGGAGTGGGGTTGGGCCAGGTGACACCCTTGCCCGGGAAATTGGACAAAGGCTGGAGGAGGAGCTGGGGGGAGGGGGAGTGAGACTGCTGGAGCGGGGGGTTCGGTCTTGGGCTGGCTGGGGAATCAGAGGGAACCCCAAGGTTGGGGTCTAAGCTCCCTACCCCCCAGAAGGACCTGACTAAGGGGTCCTGTTTATGCCTACAAGCTCTGGTTTGGACTGTGTTCCCGTCGTCTAATAAACCTTCTGTTCTACTGTCTGGCTGAGAGTCATGGTGAATCGCAGGAAGCCGAGGGTGCAGGGCCTTGTCTCCCCCAAACTCTGTGACACCCTATATTCCAGGGGTTGGCAAACTTTGGCTCCTGACCCATTAGGGTAAGACTCTAGCAGACCTGGACGTTTTGTTTACTTGGAGTGTTCACAGGCACGGAGCCCCTCAGCTCCCAGTGGCCGCAGTTTGCTGTTCCCAGCCAATGGAAGCTGTGGGAAGTGGCGCGCCTGCAGCTCCCATTGGCTGTGAACAGTGAACCGCAGCCACAGTGAGCTGAGCGGCTCGTTGCCTGCAGACGCTCCAGGTAAACAAAACGACAATGTATTAGATATTCAATTCAATGATTCCATAGCGTTTAAAATAATCAAATTTTGGTGTAGCCCCATTTATAAGCCGACCCCCCCTCTTTGATGTGTCACTTTTTTACCAAAAATATTCGGCTTATGAATGAGTAAATACGCTAATAATAAATGTTTTTTTGTTCTACAAATAAAAGCACACAACTCATATTTTAATATCAGTAGTCTTACCTTTCTAATGCAATGGATGTGCCCTCTCTCCCCTGCCTTGGCAGCCTCCGAGCTGGGGCTGGGAAGGAGGGGGGTCTCTCCCTGTCTCCCCCACCTCAGCAGCCCTCAAGCTGGGGCTGGGAAGGTGGGGGGGTCTCTCCCCCGCCACAGCAGCCACAGAGCTGAGGCTGGGAAGGAGAGCCGTCTCTCCACAGCAGCCGCAGCCCTGGAGCTGGGGAAAGTCACCACTTTCTCTGGCCTCCGCAGCCCTGCACATCCCAAATTCCCCCCACCCCCTCTTCTCACCCCACTTCCCCCTCCCACCTACACCCTATTCCCCCCAAGGCCACCACCTCACCTTACATGTGTGTCTTCTCCAGGGTACAGGCACCTAATTTGTGGAGCCATACCTGCATACACCTTAGAGGGAACTATCTGCCGACCACCTGAATGGAGCTCGCGGACCACTGGTGGTCCACGGACCACAGTTTGAGAACCTCTGGGATAGATAATAAGATAGAAAATATCATAATGCCATTATATAAATCCACAGTACAACCATATCTTGAATACTGCATGCAGTTCCGGTCACCCCCTCTCAAAAAACGTATGTTAAAATTGAAAAGAGTACAGAGAAGGGCAACAAAAATTATTAGGGAGTATGGAACAGCTTCCGTATGAGGAGAGATTAAAAAGACTGGGACTGTTCAGCTTAGAAAAGAGATGACTAAAGTGGGATATAATAGAGGTCTGTTAAATCACAAATAGTGTGGAGAATGTGAGTTAGGAATAAGTGAATTCTAATATTTTTTTTGAGATGGGATGACCAGAACTGCATGCAGTATTCATGGTATGGGTGTACCATGGATTTATATAGTGGCATTATGATATTTATTGTACAGTGCATAGCATAATGGGGCCCAACCATGGATTTATATAGTGGCATTATGATATTTATTGTACAGTGCATAGCATAATGGGGCCCAACCTGGCTTAGGCTTTTTTGCACTACTGCAATATAAATATTAAATAATAATATACAACACAGTGGGAGTGAATTCAAAAATCCACAGGAACAGGAGAAGGTGGATCCCAAATCCTAAAATGTAAAGAGTTAATTCTTGATGAGCAGGTCTTCAGCTGTGCAGTTTCATTTAATGCTTAACAGGAGATGCACAGATAAAGCTCTGAACACTGAAATGACTATACTCCTACAAATCACTGGTAAAGAGGAGGAGACCATTTAAAGATGGCCCCATTGAAGTCGGTGGCAGAGCTCCCATAGACTTTAATAAGTCCATGATTCCACTTGGAATGTGTTTGAAAAGGACAAACTTTAGTCAGCTGTTTCAGCTAACCATTGATAGACACTGCTCACCAGTGTTTAACAATGGCTAGCCAAAATGGTGCTCAACATAATTTGTTCTTTTCTAAGCTTACTGCTGCACAATATTCAGCTGCTACTGTTGCAAACAACTGTCATCTATTTCATAGTATCAGCAGGTCCCAATGCCCTCATGCAATCAAATTTTCCTTTGGCTACTAGACTTTTGCATATACTGTAAATACAATATTAAAATAACCAGTTATAATTTGGTATGTTTAAGAGGTCTGTTTCTCTTTTCATCAGGAAGTTATGCCCCAATCCCGCCATCTATTTACATCATAATATTGTATGCTTATCATATTAGCAAGCTCCACTGGTATATAGTTCAGCATTTTATTTAACAACCTAAATCATAATAATGCTACAATAAAATGATGCAACAACAATTAATAATTCATAATGTAAATACTGACATGCCGTTACAGTATGTTCTAGTGGTATCTTCGGTTGGGATAGTAATTGACTTGTCACCACTTTTCCACATAGAGTCTGGCATCTAGTTTGAGGAATTAAACTGATATAATAACCAGAAAGAGTCCACTGAAATTAAGGTCATGACTTTCTCTAAAAATGACTTAAGATGAAAAATCAGAAATGTTTATTTTCACATTCCTAGCTTCCATGCTCTACCAGGGATTTTTACTACTCCTAGTCAATTTCATGCTTGACTAAGATGTGCAGTGATTGTCTGTGAAGACATCATACAAAATATTACTGGAAAACTGGAACATTTTTCTTCCTCCTTAAATATCCATTTGCCATTCCTCCAATTTCTTCAAAATCGATGTGCAAAACTTAAAGCTCAAGGTGAATATTTTGACCTTTTGAATGGTTATTTAGGTTAGGGTTTTCAACTATTTTAGTAACAAATTGGGACTAAAAATGATTACAGACAAGTAGAGAGTCTGTCTAATATGGCTATTGCAAGAAAGAGAGGAGTTGATTATCTTAGCATTATCAATCACAACGTTTTGCCAGAACATTGGCCAATGGCCATCATTGGCTTTCGCTGGTACTTAACTTTCTAGGGCTGATCATGCAAAGTTTTTAATATAATCATTTTTAAATAGATTGTTTCAGCTGTTACGTTTTCAGAGAGGGCACAAAAGACTTCTTAATTTAAAATAGGAATGGAGAAACCAAACCATATTAAGGACCGTAGTTTTAAATTTTTCTGGACATGCTTGTCTTCTGGTCATTAATCACTTCTTTTTGTTTTACATCTTGTTTTTCTTTGTGGGTTTGTCAGAGAATTAACTTGCAGTTACATTCACCAGTCATAGGAAGTAACCCCTTTACAGAGTTTCCTTCTCACAGTTATAATGGTATCATATTATCATTGTAAAATATAACATAGAAGTTAAAGATTGAAAAGATACATTAGATATTCTAGGCCATTTCCCTGCCAGTGCAGGATTGTGACAAAAACACAGGTGATAATGGTAGTCTGGCAAAAGAGTTCAATAAGAATTTGCTCAAATACCTTCCTCCAGTAGCCACATCCTTGCCCAGCACAGCAAGACATAGAAGCTTTTCATTTAAGTGTATTTTTTTCCTCACCTCACAAACTAGGAATTAATTAAAGCTTTTTTAAGAACTGTGAATTCCACAAATTGGACCAATAGTTGAAGTTCAAATTTGCCCTATCTCATTTTCAAAATAGAGACCTCTTAATGGCCAGTTTTTAAATGGTGAAGTACAGATATTTTGTGGATTAATATTACAAGGTAAAATTATATTTTTTGCTTATAATTTTAGAAGATCTGTGTCTTGAAAACAGTATTCCCATATTTGCAGTGAATATGTGCACTGCTTTCTTATTTGTCAGATGTATTTGGCAGTGGTGTAAATTCATATAAAGCTGCAACACAGATTTAATTTTAATTAATAACAGTGACAAAAAGTCTAATTTTCTTTGCCTGATGGAAGTTGCTGGCATCTTTCCAAACAGGTTCTCTAATGATCTTGCTTCACCATGGCAACCAATATGGAGGTGCTGGCTCAGCAGATAGTGGAGACACAGCAGGTGGCTGAGGTGAGTGGCAGATGATACTACAGTAGCTGGCACACTTGATTTTGAAAGGAAAAATATATCAGTGTTTTCCGTTGTTTACAACTGATCAGAAATGAAGCAGAAGGTAATTACAGAACAGTAATTATTTTACATGAGAACATGTAAGAAATGTAGCCAATATTTGTTTCAGTCACGTTACTTCATTCTAGTGGATTCCATATTAGATGTGTAAAACAAGAAATTCACCTGTGACCTACATGGAAATTTGGTTCTTTTGCCTATTTTATAATTCTCATAATTTGAAATAAAAGATATGAGAAAACCAATGCGTTTGAGTGACATAGTTTAATAAATAAGGATTTCTACTCTTTAGTTGATATGCCATTTAAATCTTGAACCATGTTTCAAGTACCACCTGTACTACATAGTGAATACGGTGAACATGCAGTAGTGAGAATCTTGTGAATCATAGTTTGGATTTTTGTCCCAAGTATACATGTATAAAAGCACAAAAACAGTTTTAAGGTAACATTAAATTAACGGCCTTACTTATGTTCACCATAACTTGGACAGTTGAATGCTAAAATGTCTAAATCAGCTTCTCAGCACTGAAAATGCACTTTATTATGGAAATAGAAGATAACCTACATATTTCTTTTAGTTTGCTAATTTTAATCAGATCCTTAACTGTATAGGGTTTGTGGGTTTTTTGCTTGGCTTAATATTCTTGAGAGTTACCACAGCCTATCATATAATTACATAATTAAGGAATTTTGTAAATTATCTGTACTCAATAGTCTGTGACATCTCCATAATCAAGGCCATGTTAGAGATTTTAGTTCATAGATCTCTGACCCAGTGAACTGTAATTACACCTTGAAGATACTCAGTTTGGTGGGCTAATGTGAGAGCTGCATATCTGAGGTAAATCCACAGGCAAAAAAACTTTCAGAAAAGGATTTGCAAATACATTTTTATATCCAATAACTTTGTTGTACAAAGAAATATTAATTTGTTCATTTTAAAATATATTTTATGGCAACAGTGATTAAGTCACAATCTGGACTAAGGGCTGCAAAATACAGTAGAATCACTTTTAAGGACTGTTTAAAGAAAAAACTAAAATTTCACCTTAGAAACTGACAAATAGAATTTTTTGTTTTGTTTTATTTTGCTCTTTCAGGTTTTTGTATAGCAAGTTTCAGGCCAAAATTAATTTTTACAAACTAGTCCTAGAAGAGCCTGAAAAAAAGAATTTGTAATGGAAAGACAGGCAAACCCTTAACTATTTTAGTATGAATGGTGATGCTATAATCACATCTAAGGCACATAAAATATGTGATATTTGTAATTCCTCGTGCAGGAAATGCACCGTGGTAACATAATGTGATGGTTGTATCTTGCCACTGGAGAGCTCGGTCCTTCCCAAGAGCATGTGAAGCTCTGTGATTTCTTCCTAGCCGGTGGGTAACTAGGGCTTCCTCTCTTTACACTATTCGATTCCTCCTTAAATTATATGCTTGTCTGATGCATAACACCATAATATTTTTGTTCATGGAAAAAATATTTATTAAAAAACAACATGGTCACAACATCTGTTAATTCTAAAGGAGACAACGTTGCTTTTAAATCTTGAGCCATCTTTGTTATAAATGATTGGCTTACTGCTATGTGTCCTAAGTCAGATATATTTTTTGTTCAGTTTAATAAATGACTAATCTTTTTGAAATATATTAGATCTGTGTATTTGTATTCATAGTAGTTTCTTGGCAAGAAGGGAAATGATTAATTGGTTTGGGGTAGTGTAAAAATTTGGCATTGGCCTTAAAAAGTGAGTGCTTTCTTCATAAGGCAGATATTTCATCAAGGAAAATTGAATTGGGCAAAGGGAAATATAGCCATTAATCATATACTGAATCCTAAGACATGAATTTTAAGTGGTCAGTTATGAACAATATAATTTAATGCAAATACTGGCATGTTTAGTTATATATACAGTAATTCTTCAAACTGATTGCTGCCTATGTTGCACATGGGTTTACTGGGGACCAAGATGTCAAGCAGCAAACATTAGGTTGTCCTAAGTAAAGAGTCAGCAGTGCTGTGTTTTTCTCTCCTGTGCAGTGATTTGTCAGGTTTTATTGTCTCTCTGAATTATTGCTCCAACATGGCCATTAATGACACTACACCCCAATACCGTTTGTATTTTGTGTACTCAGAATAAGTGAAAAACATGGAATCAGTTCTCATTTTAATAATGATTTTCTAAAGCAGCTCCTGTGATGGTTTCATCTACTGAGTAGTTCAAAGTTCACTGCTTATCTTTTTTCTTTTCTTTCTTTAGAGCTTATTATTGCTTGTTCCATTTCTCCAACTTTCTACTTCCAGCTGGATGAGATGGGATGACACTTTGTGTCATTACTTACACCTTAAGGTGTTATTCAGTTGGTTTTACTCAGAATTCATCAGCTTGGAGTACAGAGAACAGCTATGCCCAAGAAAGGAAATGTCAGCAGTTGTTACACATTCTGAGCAGCTTTTGCAAATGTCATTTATATTTTATCCTTCGTGTATAAACTACTAACACTACTTTTCTCAAGGTTTTATCTTGTACTCTGAGTATGCTATACACTAGTAGGTTTCAGAGTAGCAGCCGTGTTAGTCTGTAGCCGCAAAAAGAACAGGAGTACTTGTGGCACCTTAGAGACTAACAAATTTATTTGAGCATAAGCTTTCGTGGGCTACAGCCCACTTCTTCGGATGCATAGAATGGAACATATATTGAGGAGATATATATACATATGACAACTCCCACCTTTTCATGCTCTCTGTATGTGTATATATATATCTCCTCAATATATGTTCCATTCTATGCATCCGAAGAAGTGGGCTGTAGCCCACGAAAGCTTATGCTCAAATAAATTTGTTAGTCTCTAAGGTGCCACAAGTACTCCTGTTCTTTATACACTAGTAGTGTCCAATTTGTAGCTGAGGAACCACTTGAGGCTTCAGCTTCAGGCCTTGAGAGCAAGTCTGTTAGGAAGAAAATTTGTATGAAAGTGTGGTTTCTGAACTGTGCCCTGCAATTTTTAAACTGAAATGTTTGAATCAGGCCTGTCACTCTGGACTGGAGGTAGAGGGCAGTGCCTCCCACCTCTTTCCCTGAAGCCTCAGGACCAACTCTGATGTGAGCTAGGAGCACTATGAGCAGTTGCTGATATTGTCCCTTATCCTGTTGCAACTGCTCACTAGCTGTCCTTCTGCATCACAGTAGAGGGAGGTCAGAGTAGCATTAGCTCCTCCTTAGCCTGCTTACCTGCCAAATTGTAAAATCTAAGATCTAATTTAAGAAGTAATGTTTTTGAATATAGAACTTTATAACTGTTCCAATTAAATATTTATTGTAAGCTGTAAATTTTGGGAGAGTAAGTTTGTAAAATATTTTAAATTCCTGTGGAACAGTTGGGTATATTTAGTCTGGGTTTGCTGTAATTATTTCCTACTTTAACTTTTATAAGAATCTCTTTTGCACTAACATTGCTCATACCTAGATTATGACAAATTGAAAGAGATTGATCACTGTATTTAAGAAATACAATTACTTTTGATATTTAGTGATGCTTATAAAGCAAATGCTCTTCTCCTTAAATCAGAAACACTAAATGGCATGAGCAAAAATATCTGTAGAGATTTCTGTGAAAAAGTATGAACTCAAAAATCCATTAACTATATTGACTATTGATTTATTCTTTCAACATATTTCTCAAATAATGTTCTCATAATCAATGTAGTTGTTTGCCTTTGCAATGACCTGACTGGTAATAAACTATTGAAAAAAAGGATTGAAGGTTCAGTGTATAAATATGTAGAGTTATAACTTTGGAAAATGAACCTTCATTCACAATTGCAAACTGAGATAAATATATATCTAAATATATCTCTATATGGATACATGTACATAAAATTATGGGCAACTCACATTGGTGAATTAACATATGAACTGTGCAACTATGAAGAAATCTTGTTACTTTCAAAGGATGTAACAGTCATGAAATGAGTTTGGACAATCTAGGTTTCTGTTTATGCAAATTTGAATACAAGTAACTAGTCCTTTTGTTGCTGACTGGTTTTCAAATATTTAAAGCGGTCAATTTTAGTTCCACATTCTAGTCATGATTACCTTATATGGACGTTCCTAGTATGTAGTGGGGAGGGGACACGGGGAGAAAGATTAAAATCCTTTCTTTAGTATTTTACAGTGTGTATACTGCATGCAGATTTGGTCGTCCCATCTCAAAAAAGATACATTAAAATGGAAAAGGTACAGAGAAGGGCAGTAAAAATTATTAGGGGTATGGAACAGCTTCCGTATGAGGAGAGATGAAGAAGACTGGGACTTTTCAGCTTGGAAAAGAGATGACTAAGAGGGGATATGATAGAGATCTATAAAATCTTGACTGCTGTGGAGAAAGTGAATAAGGAAATATTATTTACTGCTTCACATAACAGATGAATTAGGGGTTACCCAATGAAATTAATAGGCAGCAGGTTTACAACAAACAAAAGAAAATACTTCTTCACACAACGCACAGTCTACCTGTGGAACTTGTTGCCAGGGGATGTTGTGAAGGAAAAAACAATAACGGTTTAAAAAAGAACTAGATAAGTTCATGGAGGATAGGTTCATCAATGGCTATTAGCTAGGATGGGCAGGAATGGAACACCATGCTCTGAGTGTCCCTAGACTCTGTTTGCCAGAAGCTGGGAGTGGACGACAGGAGGATAGGTCACTCAATGATTGCCGGTTCTATTCATTCCTTCTGAAGCACTTGGCATCGGCCACTGTCGGAAGACAATATACTGGGCTAGATGGACCATTGGTCTGACCCAGTTTGGCCATTCTTATGTACCCAATGAATTCAGCTTATGGACTCAAACACTGAAATGGGGGGGGGAAGGTGCATAATTTAGTCCATCATCAAACCAGTGTAGGATTATTCCTTATGACAAAAGTGAATTGG